TGCTTCTAAATAATCTCCATATATCTTGCACCGTTTTACAATAGGATTTTGGGAAAACGCTATCCTTTTCATGGTTGTTCTTGCTGCGTGGATCGATAATTTGGAATGAGAAATAAACCATCCAGCAATTAACAATTAAAACTCTTTTTTTCTTGCAACATATACTGTTAGTGTTTCTAATATGCTTTATGGGCTGACGAAGATTGATTTGTTTTTGGACAGGTGAAGTTGCAGTTCTTGTTGAAAGTACGGTTTAAGCACAAGAGATGAGCTCGAAACAAACAGGAAGACGTAACCTTTTGTTAACTAATGTTTTTTGGGAGATCAAAATCCATCATGAAGACAACATTTTGTAACTAAATCGGGTTGTCTCTCTGGCTTTGTAGTTGTCTGGTTGCTTAACAGCCTTACACTTTGTTATGATCTTCCTCAGTAATCACTCTTTTGGGTAACTTTTTTTTTTTAAACTAATGTTGTTTCCTTGAAACGGTCATATCCAAAGAGAAAAATGGTTGGTGGATTTGATTTTTGAGGTGCAAAGCATTAAAATGTCGATAGTAACAAAGTTGCTAGAAGAATAAAAGTTACAATCTCACGCAAACTAGCCACTTGTACTCAAACAGACCATGGAAACATGACTTCCGGGTAGTAAAGAGATTCACTCGAGCTGCAAAAGGACTCACTGCGGTCCATGGACGCTGATGCAACGTCGCTCATCTGGTTAAGGTTGGAGTCTGAGACTACTTGGTGAAACCAACTGTGAAGATCCTGGGGCATATCTTGAGCTAGAACCTTCCCTTGTTCCATACAATCCTCTTGAGGGAACTTTCTAGAAGCTTCTTCTCTAAGGAGTACCACTTGTGCTTGTAGACTAACAACCTTAACAACACACAAGCAAGTCGAGCAACTTGTAAGCACACTAGACATGATGAACAAGAACTGGTTTTATATGAAAATAAAAACTCATTTATTCGACATGATTAAATAGATGAGAAAGAACCTGTTGTTGAAGGGAGAAGATTTGGGAGACGCAGCCGTAAATAGGATCATGGAGACGAGACTGAGCCTCGTAAGTGATGGTTCGAACAGCTTCACAACGGTCATGAACAGAGAGGTTAGAAATGAGCTTAGAGAAGTTGCTGGCTCCAAACACTTTGTGAATGGCTGCAAAATTAGAAGATCCTTCTTCATAGCAAAAGTATGGTGCAAATACACAACCTTCTACACATTTCCTACGCAAGAACTTGCATCCTCCACATGGTGAACCTAAACCTCCCATTCTCAAAAATTGTATTTATTAGTCTAAAGTTAAAACCAAAATATTATCTTGGAGGAAGATTAATACCACTAATGACGATTATATATAGTGCCTGACACTGTCTATGCAGTGGGTAAGAGAAAAGGAACATGGTGGGATTTGTTATATTATATTAAGAAAAAATTGTGTGTGTTTGTGCAAATGTATATATAGTAACTCAATTTGTTAGTTTACAAGTGTGTCTCTCTAATGGCGTACAAAAGTGCAGCTTTATTTTTCTTCCTCAAGGTTATTTAGTATTTACATTGTAAAATATATCTTTTTCAGTATAATTCGTTATAAAATGTTATTGTGTTTAATCTTTTGAGGAGGGGAGTTTTAGAAAATATTTGAGGGAACCATATTAATATTAAGATCCGATCGACAGAGAGATTTGGTTGACGTATAGGACAAAACAATGAGTAAACATGAACGAAACCCATTTTGCTTTTTGTTTTGATTGGTTTACATTTTTTAACACATTTTGATTGGTTACTTATGTTGTTAATTGTAGTTTATTTATTCATATCTTAATTAATATTTTTTTATATCGCTTAGAAGTTACTTTTAGGGGTTTTTAGTTTGTTTTCTGTGTCAATTTATACGATTCAAAGTGACTGATCAAAGTTAATATATTGCCCTTTGAATGAACATATGGAGTATATAGCTTTTTACATATATAAACAAGTGGCATATCAAGTTACCAACAAAGGTTTATCAAAAAAAAAAAAGTTACCAACAAAGGTTGATAGTATTAGTCTATGAAATTATTCTAGTTAGATTTTAAACACTTGCTATGCTCTCGGTTTTGATTAAACTTTACAGGCTAGAAAAATTAGACACCCATGATTATCCAGCCCACATTACAATCATGAATCATGATTATCAAGAAAATTATTCCAAAATAATTGATCAAGTACAAAAGGTAAATTATTCGAAAATAATGATCAACTGATAGTGGGTTTTTTTTTGGTAATCGAACTGATAGTGGGTTTATCACTTAATGTTGGTTTAGTGAAGATTAAATATAATCAGAAAAAGATGTGGAGATCAACGCAATAAACAAAACATAAATAAATCAGGAAGTAATACGGCGGTACTTGTTGAATGTCTATCTTTACGGAGATAATTCTGTTTGCAGATGTCATCTTGTGACCTATTTTAATATGCGATTACTCTACTTTATGATTACAAGTTACTTGTGTATGTAGTGTGAAAATAATACTTTATATAAGTTATTTTGCTATTTCTATATGTCTATGTTTTTATAGGGGCTACTGCAGATTGTATCCTGTGTAATGATCTCTTGGAAATAAGGAACCATTTACTTTTTCAGTGTGATTACACAGGAAATATTGAGGTTTCTGTTTGCTACTCTGCTTGGCTCAAGTTATACACCCAAATGGAATAACATTTTGGACATTCTGGTGGACAACTCTCTGGAAAAAAAAAACAATTTGTTTTTGAGACGGTATGCTTTTCAGATTTCTATTCACTCAATCAATCTGGAGGGAAAGGAATGGTAGGAAGCATGGTGAGCAACAAACATCACACTGCCACACAATTGGCAAAGCTGATCGAAAAGAATGTGAGAAAAAGAAGCTATTAATTCTACAGAGTAAGGGACAACAACAAGTATCGGGGAACGATGGCTTGCAACCATAACCTAAAGAAAAAAACATAACTTCTTGTCATGTCTGATCTTCATAAATGACTAACATCACACTCTCTTTTCTCCATTCTCTTCCTATATCTCCCTCTCAAAAACTAGTTTTTATTTTTTTGGTTACTACACAAATAAGGGAATACTAGAGCTGGACCCGTCCGACCGGACGGATATTTATTTCATTTTGATATAAATGAATATTATTTAAATGTCTATCCGTTAATATTTTTTAAATATTTATCATATATCTAAATTTTTATAAACACAACAATCGAATAGTTTATGTGCTGTAAAAATAGTGATTCGTGTTCATTATTAAACTTTTGAAAGATTAATATTGACCTATTGATAGTTTGAATAATATTTCTTGTAATATGAAATTGTTTGCCAAATGTAAAAAGAATTTAAATATTTTGATCAGATATGGATAATATGGTAAGATTAAGATATGTTATAAAAAGAATATTTGGTTATAAATACTAAACATTTTTTTACAAGTAATTCAATATTTCAATTTCAGTATTAAATTTTCTTGTTGAAAATAATTAATAGCAACAAAAATGGTAAAACATATATTTTAGAAATTCTTGAAAAATATATAATCTTAGGTGAGATTTAATTATATTAAATAATATTCAGTTACAAATAGTTCATGTTGTTTATAAGTAGTTTAAATATATTTAAAATCTTATTGTTCAAACTAATTAATGCTAAGTTAAACATATATTTTGAATATGTATAATATTTTTTTTTTAATTTTGAATTTAAACTTGAATTTTCTTCAAAATAATTAATGGTAACGTTATACAAATTTAATATTGTTAAAATTTGATTTTAAATATGAATATTCCTAAAAATCAGATAGTTTATTTTAGGGAATATATTAAACACGAAATTTAAGCTAAAATTGATTTAGAAAATTGTTTAATAAATAGGAAAAGACAATGATTACTTACATATAAGTTCATTTAATTACTTCAGTGACATGCTATTGTAAATAAAAGTGAAATCTAATGGGTATTTTATATGAGTACTTCTATTTTAATAATATAGATGAAAATAACATCATACAAATTCAGAATATAAAGATGAGTCATTTACCTTAAAATAATTAATAAAAACAAACAAGCCAAATTTGAAAACATTTGATTTTATAGGGGTGTTGGCTTAAATAAAAAAAAGTTTGCGGAGTTTGTCGATCCATCAAAACATTCGAACAGCGAGCGCCTCTCTCTCTCTCTCTATTCATCCCTTGGACATTGGAACATCGACAACTTCTTCATCTTCGTCAAGGTTTGTTTTAATTTTAATTTTAATTTTCTTCTCTGAATCTTAGCGTCAGGTTAATCTTTTCGGTTTTTCTAGAGTTAAAAAGTTTGCTATTTTGTAGAAATTAGCCTGGGATTGAGTCCTATCTTCTACCTACCGAATTGAGTTTTGCTTATATGATACTCTCGATCTAGAATTATATATTTGTGTTCAGATCTTGAAGGAATCAATTCTGGTCTAGAAATAGGATAAATATTTTGATTTTAGCTGAGAGCCTGAGATTATCGAAAGAGAGAGAGACAGAGAGAAGCCAATTTATAAAGTTTTCTGAAGGGACATATATACATGTTTCCAAGTAATAAAAATGACCAAGTTTAGCATTCCGATTACCTCATCTTCGACCATTTGAGTGGAGAACCTAAATTTTGTTTTCTCTGCTTTGTTTATAATAGTGTCATTTTGGGACTTCTCGTAAATCAGTATAACCACTTGTGTTATTTTTTTTTCTTCTGTGAAACTGTAAATCTGTGTTCTTTAGCTATTTGCCATACATTCACACTCTTTCATTTGATGAATAACTGTTAGTATTTAATTTAAGGTTTATGCATGTTATTATCGTTACTTTTTCAGAACTAGCCTTTTATGTTCTTGTTCCTTTGTAATTTGTTGGCTTTACTGAATCTTGGAGAAAAGAACACAAGTCTTTAGAAACTAAGAATTTATCATTTCTTTATTTTTTGGTCTCTCGACGCAGATATTAGAATCTGGATTTTGAGCCATGAGCACAGTGACCAGGCCTTCTTCTTCAGCGACGACCACCTCTGTCATCTTAGAAACTCCTGTTTCTCAGTCACAACCTACAGAAAGATTAGTGCTTCGGTTGAACAGGAAGAAGAAGAAAGTCTCGTGGAAAGATGGGACAGTGGATAACGAGTTCATGCAGAAGAAGAGTTCAAAGAAGTGTTGCATCTTTCACAAACAGAAGCCCTTTGATGAGGATGACAGTGAAGAAGATGATGATGATAACCACCACCATGATCATGATCATAACCATGAACACTGCGAATCTGGTGAGGCATCTTCTTCTAACGGTTCCAAAGCAGTTGATTAATCAATTCAGCTTTTCACAGCACAATGTAGAGATAATTGAAGCTTTATAATATGTCATGGAAGAAGACTAATTCGTATGAAGTTTTGGGTTGTCATGATCTTCTCTTCACCTACCTGACATAGTAATACTGGTTGGGTTTTATTACTATATATGTACATGTAATTTTCATATTGCACTGTAATGACATGATTCATTGCACTGATGATTTTATACTACTTAAAAGCTTTATTGACACTTATGTGAGAGCATCTTTTCAGACATGAACGTTTAATACTATTAGGCCCCTGGTGCATGGAAAATGAGTCTGTATGCATAATGTTATTGTCATCTAAAACATTGGTTGTGTACTTGAAAGTTTGAAACCAGTTGTGTAGTTTTATTCTAATCTTGTGTAGAGGGTTCTTGATATTAACCAAAACAAAGTAGATCCTTTGATGTTACTCTACCATATGATGGGCAAATTATTAACGTTCCGTTGTGATATCAAAGACTCTGTAAACTTTCAAGTTACTATCGATATTTCAATATTTGAGTTCCTGAATTAGTAAACAACTGTAGTCTGAACTCTAATGAACTGGACATAGCAGAAGTGGAATTATATTCATAATATCAAATACAAATTAGAAACTTCTCAGAAGAATCAACATTTGTTACAATGGTAATTACTAATAGACTTAGAACAGTAAACTCTAGTGAACGGGAACAAAAGTGGAACTTGGAGGTCTTGGAGGAAGAATCTTCAGCTTCAGGGGTTTACTAGATACTCTCTTAAACACTGTGAGCTTCGATGAAACAGCCTTCACTTTCAACGCCTTCTTTGTTGCAACACAACTATCTTCCACTTTAGCCGGAGGTTCCATGGTCAACACTATCTTATCACATCCTACCAGAAACGGATGCAACAACAACTCAGAAGCGGTTCCTCTCTCTTCAGGTTTTAACGCAAAACACTTGTCAAGAAACTGCCTTGCTTCACACGGCACAGTGTCTGGAATCTCAGGTACCCTATTATCCTCGACCAAAACATCCTCAAGATCATAAAGACTCCTAAACTCAGACCACGGCCTCTTACCAGTGTACATCTCAAGAACAACGCAACCCAAAGACCACAAATCTAGGGCTTTCTTGACCGTACCATCTCGTACAGACTCAGGAGACATGTACATAGGAGTTCCCACAAAGGGAGAATGGTAACTCCAATTATCAGATACTTCCTCTCCTTCCTTCAACGCCAATCCAAAATCAGCAATCTTGAGTTGGTAAGTGTAAGTCCACGTCTGCTGATCGTAAACCGGGAAAAGAAGGAGATTATCCGGTTTAAGATCGCAGTGGACGTAACCGTGGCTATGAACCGAGACCAAACCTTGAAGTATCATCCTAGTAAAGTCTCTGACGGTCGAATCCGTTAACTGTTTGTTAGAACGGATGAAAGTGGAAAGAGAACCAGCAGAAGCGTACTCCATAGGCATCTCGTAGACTTTGTCTGCGATACAGTCAAAGCCTTCGTGAAGAGTAGGGCTAAACACTCGCACGATGCCAGGAGATCCTTTGAGTTGGGAGAGGACTCGAAACTCTCGTTCGATGGTACGACGGTCGGAGGAGATCTTGGCGGCGGTGAAGGAGGTTGAGCCGTCTTGTTTTGTGTGACGGTAGAGATCTACGGAACCGTAAGAGCCTTTACCTAAGAATTTGACGAATTTCATGAAGGGTTTGTCTTTGCAACGACCAACTCTTTTGATCGCCATTATGTGATTCTTTTCGCCTATAAAAAACCCTAGAGAGATTAGTAAGGGAGGAAAACGCGTGAGCAAGAAGAAACCCTAGTTCGGAAAGAGACCTAGGAGAAGAAGAGAGTGTGGTAAGAAACGAAGAGAGGTGATCTCAGTACTCTTTGTTTCGTGTTTTTATAGAGGAAGTTGAGTTTCTCGATCAGTATATTTTCCTTTTCTGAATGTATCGAAAAAAGGAAATTAGTTTGTTCTAGTTAATGACTGTTTTACCTTTCATATTGTTTGTTATGTGTGTGTTTAGGGCTTGTGAAGATCTACTAATTGACAATTATATCCTTAATCATTAGATCTTCATGAGATTCACACCAAATCAAATCTTATTATGAATTTTTTCTACTTTTATTTTTTTCAGATATACGGTTACCATTTTATTTTGTTTTAACATATTTTGTTTTTTTAAGCCGCTAAGTAATATTGGGAAGATAATTAACATATCTTGATTCGCAAGTATGTATCAAGCTCCAGAAGCTTAACAGTACTTAAGTAATAATGTGAGAATTTTTGCGCAGTGTTACTTTGATTGATTCTATTGCTATGCACATGTCCAACACCATAACTCAAGAATCTAATAAACGAAAAAGAAAACAGGGGAAGCTGACTAATTAACTATGTACTAGTTGTAACTAAGTTATAAAAAAAATAAGGCCTAAGCTATGATATATCACTAAACCGAATTCAGTGACGATCATATTCATTATCTAACCAAGACCTAAAGAGCAACATATATAATAATTCAAGTTGTTCGCATAAAGTCAGTAAAGAATTCAACAACAGAATTTCTCAATATGATTTCCATTGTTTTTATAGAATGAAATAAACACATGGACAACAACACCTTCAAATTGATCAGTGATATATACAAAAACACTGTTACATAATTCTACTAATAATAAAAACAAAACTTGAGCTGAACACTAACGAGATGGTCTTGCTACCCACTGAATCTTCACTTTGATGAGTCTATACACAAATAGACCTCATTCCCGAAAGCCTCTCTCTAAGTTTCTCCAACTCCAAAGAGATTTTCCTCGAGTTATCACCAGTCATAGGAGACTCTGTGATCTTACTAACATCTCCACGCAAGAAGATATGATTCAGCAAAGTAGATGCGTCTTTTCTATCATCCACCTCCGGTGAGAAACATGTCATCAGAAAGAGCTTTGCTTCAAAAGGTATCTCTCGCGGAATCAACGGCGCATGGCAGTTCTTGAGATCCTCCAGTTTGTATTCTTTATGCCACCATGGTCTTTTCCCCGTGTACATCTCTAGTACAACACATCCCAAAGACCACAAGTCAAGTCCCTTCCCTGTCTCTCCGTGAGATATCGATTCCGGAGACATGTAGATCGGTGTTCCCGCATAGAGACGATGAGGTTGCCACCAGCTAGTGTCTCCATCTCTTCTCGACAACCCAAAATCCGAAATCTTCAACTCGTGAGAAGATCTCCACGCACCGTTCTTGTAGACACAACTCGGGAAGACAAGGATGTTTGCTGGTTTGAGATCGCAGTGAACATACCCATGTCCGTGGATGATGGCTAACCCTTCTAGAAGCATACGTGTAAAGTCTCTGATCAAAGCATCAGGCAGTTTATTGTCTTTGAAATGGTTAACGAAACTCCTCAAGCTTCCTCCAGGTGCGTACTCCATGTGAAACTTGTACTCCAAGCAACGTTTTTCGTTGAGTCTCTCTTGCACTTTGGTCCCGTAGCACTGGACGATTCTTGGACACCCTTTGAGTTCTGACAGGATTTGAAACTCTCTGTAGAGAGAATCTGCGTGTTTCTCGTCTGAGGTTTTTGCAGCGGCGTAAAGGGTCTTGCCGTTACGTGTTGCTTTGTACGTGTAGAGACTCACCGAACCGTAAGAACCTTCTCCAAGAAACTGTTCGAAGTGTAACTCTGGATACGACATTGAAAAAGAAGGATTGATTCTTCTGAGCTTAGGGAAAATCTGAGAGTTCGCAATAATTTGGTGAGAAGCGAAACAAACAAAACTCTAAGTGGAGTAGATTTTGAGAAGTAGTAATAGAGCTTGGTGAAGTCTCGACAACTATAAATAAGCTACTGTCACAGATCAGGAACCGAATGTCTTCAGTCCCAAGTTTCTCTTTCTCTAGTTTCCTTTTTTTTCAATTTACACAAAAAAATAAATAAAAGATTTCCTTTTTTTTTTGCTAGCGGAAAAGTTAATCTCCAAAAGAAAAGGAAACAACAGAAAAACTGTACCGTTGTGTTTTTGTTTTTCAAGGAGCAGTTAATTGAGTCAATGAAATAGAATAAAGTACCGCTTATTGCTATTAATAATTCGCAAATCTATGTGTCCTCAGATAATCTGATCAACCATTTTGAGTAATTTATTTCATGTAAAGGAAAGTAACTTGTTTAAAATAAGAATACATAGAAATTAGAATTAGGCAAAATGTGAACATCAAAAGGATATTGGTTATACATCTACACAAAAAATTGAAACTCCAACTGTAATTCCTAATATAATACTAGTACCTAGCATTAGAAACACAAGCTGTTTTTACTCAAAACTAATTACTTTTTTTTTTTAAGTATGTCGAAAGAAAATGAAAATTTTCATACATAATCTGAACGTGACCTTTGAGAATTAGCTAGTATTCATGATATATATAGGATAGAACATACGTTTGAATTAACCCAAAATAACTTAGTTATCTCTTCTGTTCTATTTCGAGCTTTCTCAAACTAAACCGGAAAAGAATTTGGTTTTAGTAAATTTGACTTTTACTTTTATTTAGTTTGCAAAAATGACTTTTAGTTACGTAGAAGCCCATCCCAAAAGACTCATTACAGTAATAAACTCAAAATATTTGTCTTGCTTGTAAAAGAAGAAAACAGTTGCTTTAACACCAAAAAAATGGTGGTTCAACGGACAACGAACCAGCAGGCCATATCGGAACCAGGAGGCGCCAAGCCGTTATCCGCCCACTGTTGAGAGCGGGAAGTAGTCGCTGCTCTGTGAAACCAGTCTGACGCATTACCCTCCAACTATAGCACCTACCTGACTCAAACTTTCGTTCAAATCAGACAAATGACTCTCAACTTGGACTGGGCAGCTCAGAATCATGCCACACCAGAACCGGCCTGTGTACCCGAGTCAGTGTCCCAACACCTTATTGTCCCCACATGGGTCACAAGCTCTTGTTACTTAGCTCGACGTTTTACAGATGTTTTTATGCTTTATATAAAGAAGCACAATACGAAGAGAATTATCGATGTGGGATGAAAGACTTGAAATGAACACAAAAGTTCTATGATGTGGGCTAAATTATTTTTCATTTAATTCCCATAATAAAACCAAGCCTGATATAGTGTCCAGCAACCATTTTCTACACTGCATAAGAAAATAATTTTTCATTTAACTCCTAATAAAAAAAGCTAAAGTAAAGTTATGTTTGAATTATTTTCTGAGAAATCCAATTATACTTTGGCTATGTTCTTGGACTCATTTTGCTCTTGAGCATAATGGGATACAATCAGTGACGGAGCTACCCTTGTGGAGGAGGGAGTCATATGACCCATGTGGTTTTTGTTATAAAACTTAAATTTGTATTTCTTATAAAAAACCTGTAAAGAAACTGGCTGGCTGGATACAATTCATTTGTATCATTTTCCATTTTTTACATTACTTAGTAATATAATTCACATTTTAGTTTTAAAAATGTTTCTAACCAGCTTGATCGGTTATAAATACCCATTTTCAAAATCTTAGTTCTCATAATATTAATACTCATTTAACTCATCAATTAATTTTCTAGATTCAAATTATGCCGGATCAAGTTTTGAAAGTGCTAGAATTTTTGCAGAAAATAGTTTGCAAAAAGCAACGAACAAAAACAGAAGGCTATAGATTACATGTATATAAATATTTAATACGCTCTCAACACATGACAAATGTGCATGTGCACGCAAAACATTAACGTCCTCAAATGTATTGAGAGTAGTATACAGTTTATAGGTGATGGTACGTGCCACTTATTTTAATAATAGTACGATAACTCGTGTAAGGCAGTCTAGGCAGATGTTCCAAATATTCATTGATATATACAAAGGAGTTCTGCTACGAAGTTCGGGCCACTGCTTTTACCTAGCTAAACGCAATATGGGTCGTATCGTATTATAAATTCATAAATGTTATTGAAACGTGGATTAAATTTAGGTTTACGATTGTCCCTCAATTTCCAGAGTTGCTTTAAAAGAGTTGATAATCAATGTCCCTAAGCAATCTTAACGGTCAAGTTCTCAAAAATAATTTCTTAAAGGCATAATATCATTACTCTATTAACAGGTGGAAGAAGAAATTTAAGAGAGGTTCTACCAGGTACTCATTTGAAGACCGATTGATGTTTTTTCTTAACTTTTGTTTTATTTCTTTTCTTTTAAGCTGTAGATACCCAATGACAAACCTTCGTTGGACATGTTCTTACAGGTTTAGTACGGTGCATTAATACTGATCAAAGCTTTAACTGTACTCTAAACATTTTATCGAATTAGGGTATATACAATACAATAAATTCAGTGTTGGTGGACTAGTGTTTTTTTTTTGTCAAGGTCGAGTAGTTCTCTTCTATTTATGTTGATGTCAGGAAGAGGTAGACAGAAAACTGGATGGATATTATATGCAAAAACTAGACATGAATTAGAATTAGTACGGTACAATAATAGAACTCTACTGATATCCTTGCCTCTGAAAAAAAAAGGGGATCAAATCTGATTTTTTTTTTTTTTTTTGATAAAAGTTGATTTGAACTCTAACTTCTTCTTGGTTCTATTGTTATTTACTATTTTCAGTTTCAGGCAAATAAATATTATTGTCTCTAAACAAGTTGATGGTGTTTTCTCCCCTAATCAAATAAATATTTATACATCTTTTGTACAATGGTCCGAAGAAAAACCTTTCGTATGTGTCCAAAATAGAAGAAGTGATGGCTGTTTTAGTAAAACAACAATGAACTGTCAATCAGTTCTACAGTGGATATAGAAATATATTATTAATTTAAAAATTATATATATTTCTATCCTTTTCAAACTTTTGGCTGCCTTTGTCCACACCTAAATGCCCAACTCCTTTTCTGTTTTTTCCTAGCGACAGAAACTTGTTTCATTGAGAAAAAACGAAAAGAGAAGAGAAAAAGAATTATCATAACGAGACATCCAAGTTCACAAGTCTTCGTCAATAATGAAGCCAAATATAAATACAATGTTAAAGAATAAAGAAGAAGGTTGTAACTCTCATTGTATTATTAATCACGTGGTTACACATATATATATACATACAAGAGAATAAAGCATATTCCTTAGGAGATAAGGATTGCTACAAATAAAGGGGATGATTATCCTAATCCTATAATGATTAGGATAACTACAACATATGGATAAATACAAGGGAGGATAATGAC